GGGTTGTAACAACAAATAATCCGCTAAAATATAAATGCGCTTTATTTCTTCGATCATTTGAACAAGCATACCTGTATATATGGAGTACGTCTACTGTACTTACTCAGTACTTATATTATACAAGAAAAATACAGTAAGCGATTTTATGTAGTCATATTAATAAAATATGTGCAAATTAGATATAAATTACTAATCTAGTTATTTAACAGCATAAATTAATAATTAATAGTGAAAATTAAAAAATAAATAAAAGAAAGTAAAAAAGTTAAAACCAGCTTTCTTTCAGCCAGTAATAAAAAAATGGCGTTAAGTTGACTGCACTTCCTACTCAACGCCGCCATCAGGATTATTATCAACGCAATTCAAATCCTCTGAGAAAAATTTTATATACGAACATGCAGGACAGAGAAATTGAACGGATTAAGTCAGTCAAACAGGCCCATACAATTAGTCCATAGACATTATTTCCCTATCCTACTGGTAGTTACTGTCCATCCGGCCACGTTCCCGTTCCACGTCTGCGTAACAAAGCTGCAGCGAGTTATCCTTCACTTCGTGCATGGTCGGTGTGTATCTCTTCTGCAGTACCACTAGATTAGTGAGCCGAACCGCCGGGCAGTGAGCTTAGATAGCAGCAATAATAATAAATTGAATTTATTCGATTCTTTTACATAATATGTTCAACAAACAGCAATAGGCATTGATGAGTCACTAAAATTTTGAGAATCGAATCGGTGGAGTGTTATCACGATGGTGTTTTTTAACTCAACCGTACATCCTAATATGAAATTGATCTGAACGGCTCAAAAATGAATAATCAAGTGATCAGCGATCTATTACTATAGATTTATATGTTTTTTTGTGAAGCTAGATAAATTTATTGTATGTGACCAATTTATTTTAAAACTATCAAGGTGATCAGCGATCTAAGATTTATATGTTTTTTTGTGAAGCTAGATAAATTTATCGTATGTGACTATGTAAAACTATCAAGGTAGACAGCGTGGAAGAGTGGTGAGGGAGTGATTATGTACTGCTAAGTAACCACGAAGTTCAGCTTCTTATTAAAAATGTTGAGAGTATAATTTAGAAATTCATATGGAAGACTGTATAACTTGGCAGCAACAGAAAAGAATCTCTTTTTGTAAAGAGGCGCAAAGTGTTTAGGTATAACTAATAATTGTGGATTTCTGGTAGCCAAGTTATTGATGTTTTCAAATGTTTTGAGTATACTTAAAAGATATTCTGGTTTCTTATTCACTCAAATTTTAAGAATCAAACATAAGCTTTGGAAATCTATGATGTGAAAAATATGGAGAATAGGCACATAGATTTACCGGATCTGGGAGCGTATAAATATACGAGAAGCCAAAAATTTTCGTATATTCTCCATCACCCTCTACACCCTCGAATATCAACCCTTACAAAAAGCTTGCGGAATGTCATGAGGATCCTCTGAAACATCAAAAAGCGAAGTTTGAGCGATTTTTATTTTTCTCGTTATTGGCCTTTTTGTCCGCCGCAACTGGACTGATTTTCAAAAACTATAAAGCTTTAGCATAGCAGCAACCTTGCGTGAAAATTTCATTAAGATCCGAGCGTTATAGATGGATCAAGGATTAGCGGACACTCAGACCGACAGAACGACAGATAGAAAGACAGACGCTAATGAGTGACATATGGTATTTTGTGATGTACATGTTATGAAAACATCTAAAAAAACAATATCTCATTTTCAAATAAAAGCGAGTTACATTTTAAGAGCAGGGAAAAAGGTGTTTAACATTAGTTATAAAAAATGCATTCAGACGCCCATATTCGAAGGTGTCCGTGAGCCTTGGAGCCATGCGCTAGCGATCGACACCGTAAAACACCATGCTACTTAGACACAGCCTCCTTCACGACAGGCTTAACAGAAAAGACCAAACTACGGGGAACCCTACATGTGAAATATATCAAATAGGAGCGTAGAATTATCGGGGTTAAATTTTATAAATGTACTAACGCCAAAAAATTGAGATACATCCTGCTCCATCCCCTGCGACCCCCACGCCCAAGATTCCCCCTCAAAAATATTGTTAATAGTGATAAGGAGTGAAAAATAAATATAGAAACTAGTTTCAACGATTTTTATTTTATTTCCTGCCCGTAGCTCCGACGCCACTGGATCGGTTTGATAGCATACAAAGTTTTTTCGTTCCTGGTATAGTACTAACCTCAAATTAAAATTTTGCCAAAATCCGTTCGGTACTTTCCGAATTAAGATAGTACCTCATTATCAAACTTCTTCGGATGGCTATTCCTTTCCAATTGGCGCGGGAAGTAAAAATTAAAATGTCCCCCGTCACTGGTTGTATACATACCCAATCAGTCGTACGGCAGCGAAGTCCGACCCTGGCGCCCGGGTGGCGCCACTGCTCCCACCGGAGTCTAGACCGGTTGTCCACAACGTTGCCACGTTATTAGAAAGGTCTGAGATTGAGGTAAACCTTGCTAAATTCAAGACAGATGAAATGACTGAGGGAGGCTTAAAAAGATGTTTTCTTTTCAGGGCAGCGACCTAAAGTTGGTCTTGTGATCTTCTTTTGCTGCTGTATCGTGAGGTATATTTCATAAAAGTCATATCAATTTGCTGCCTTGAAGCACTAACAATGAGGTCAGCGAAGGATGTTGACTCGTCTTTTTTGGACGTATCTTGCACTAATTTACATTTAGAGGAGACACAAGTTCTACAATGATCATCAGCTTCTATGCTATTGTTTTTGGCCGTCAAAAAATATTCCGGAATTTTTCCTCTACAGATGCAGCTACATTCTTTGCTTCTAATACTGTTCGAGAAAAAGAGAGATTAGTGTGTGTGCGACGAGGAATTTCGAAAGCAATGGAATGTACTCAATCTACTAGTATTTGTGTGTATCCGAGTAACAATAAGTACCACGACAAACCTAAGGAGAGGGTAGGCTTAGGACTGACCTCCTAAATAACAAAAACTTACCGATATAAAAGTGTCACCGTTTTTCAGATATTGAATTTTTTCTTAAATTTTTCAAAAACGAACCTTCTCATCTGTGGTCTTTAGATGCATGTACAAATAAGGTTATACTTTGTTCATTTTTTCTACAACATACTTCTAGATAGTTGCTTTATCATATACAAATGCAATGTAGTTAAAAGATATTAAGAAACCATGATCAAATAAGGACTATTTTGGGATTTATAACCTTTTTATTGAATAAAAAGATTGCTTATTAAATACAGATTTCACCACACGTACTATTTGGATTAGAAAAGTCATTGCTGCTTTTGTAAGTGACTGACACACACTACAATGTAATTATTTGATTAAAATTCAAGTTGCACTGGTTACCGATCAGTGACATGCTAAATAGTACCAAGCTACGTTATGATTACCTGCTCCTCATATGATTTTATGAAAGTTAAGGAAAGAATATCAGAAGGTTATAAATCCCAAAACAGTCCTTATTTTATCATGGTTCCTTAATATCTTTTAACTACATTGCATTTGTATATGATAAAGCAACTATCTATGTGTCGCTTTCAGTAACTATTGAACATTTGTGTTTATTAAAACTTAGCTACTACGGGTCCATGCCACCATCCTTCTGACAAAATACAAGAAAAGTAGATGTCAAACACCAGTGACGGGTGCAGAAAATAACGATTGAGGGTTGTGTTGCTATAAAAATATATGTAATGGATCCACAAAATCGATAATAATCATATCTGCGATGATTCTATGGTTACATTTCCAAGAATTCGAACATCTAAATCATTCAAAGGTTCCAAAATAGTTCTTAGGAACATTGTCAACTATATTTAGTTTATCCGTAATAGGGATATTCACCGCAATTACAATACTCATCTGGTTATCGAAGAGACCACGGTAGTAGCGGCCAAACACGGACAAAGGCCGCATTAACATCCCAAGCTTTTCACCTGCTGAACAACTATATAGCTGCTCGATGAGTGGACCAAGACATACCAACCTGTGTATTGTATTGCGTACATAGCAGAAGATGTGCGAGAGTTCTTTGTGATGGGATAGCCGAGCGGTTAGCGCGTTGAGTCGACTCGCAATCTTGCATGTTCCAATCTCTACCTCTGAAGTTACTTTCGAGCCATGAATGTGGTATTTTCTATACTATGCATCAGATCGGTGCAAGATCAACACAGGTACACCGCATTGTTGGAGCTGGTTCATTAAATTATCAGTTACCTGTATATAGCTTGTAGTACAGTGTCGATATTACGGGGTCAACAAAAAGGGTCAAAGGTGGCCTATTTGCCTGGCTTCGCGTGGTCACCACTACTACTAAGTGATAATATTAATTATACGTTAGATTATATAAAGCAAATAAATGAAGTGCGTCCACTATGTATCCAATTCCCATTAACGCCCCATCAAAGTAAACATGAACCTTCGATCACCGCTTCTATTAGCTTGTCGCTACGATGCCCAGGCAATAATGGCCTGCTGGCCAATAGGAATGCACGAATTTTGGACGTCACGCGCTGCTTTTTGTTTTGACTGGCCGTAAATGAGATTTAAATCGTAAACGTATTAGTTTGTAAGAAAATACAGAAAAATTAATGGTATATCATATTAATCAGATTCAATGTTCGGGTGTCAGGGACACACTAAGAACAAAACTATGAAGTTGCTGCCTAGATAGTTCCTTTTCATCGTTCTGTTTAATATGCATATGTTATATCCAGATTGAATAAGAAAAAGCGGATGCGCAACTAATTTTTAGCTTTGCATACATCTCAAGTAAGTATATTTGGGACAAGATACCAATGGAATTATCATCAACACAGATTATTAGCACACAGATACTTACCATGCTCCTATGCACTGCCGTTGATTGGACTCTTCAATGTGGCCCTAAATGTGATCCTTGAGGTCCTCCCCATCCAAACCTGGGCGTCTTAAAGCGTAACATCGGCAACGCCGCCGTCCACGTCCGCGCCGTCCTCAGGCGACGACCGTCGGTCGTGCCGCCGTCAACGTCGCGCCGCTGCCGCGTCAGCGTCAGTCGCTTTCGGTATTTTGTTGTGTGAGGATCGTGGCAGGCCGTGTTCATTGCTGCCCGTCTTTCGTTGGCACCCCGACACGCGAGGGTTGGACACATACGCGGTGCGGCATCGCGACTAGTGATATAGTGCCTTTACAAACCGGGGAACATATTACAATCACCGGCTAGGATTATTCCTGAACACTAACGATAAGTTTAGAGAACATACACGACACAACAAGTGCAGCAGAAGAAAGCTTTAAAGTCCAACAAGAATTTCAGTAACTTCCAACAAGAAATCAAGTTGATACTAAGTCTAAAGCTTTTTTGTAGTGGTGGAGATAGTAGCAAGGTTATAGAGATATAAATTTAAACATTTGATACCAAATAGTTTGAATAAACCGGGATAATACATCGTTGAATCTAGATCTACGAAAGCGAAGATACAGCATTTCGAAGAAAAACACCGCATCTAAACGTCCAACTGTTGCTTTTCCCGGCTAACTAGATGAGGAAGCTTTAAGGAACAAGCAAGGGACACAACATTTAAGAAAAGTGCCTCAAACCATTATTCCATCAAAATATAGAATTTTGCTGTTCAAGCCTGAAGCGTGAAGTATCCCAACCTTCTACAACCAAGGTTGAAACGACAAATAGTAACAAGAAGGCGAGGGGAAGCTATTACAAATATCAGAAAAAAGTAACCAAAATCAGACCCTGAATAGGTTTCGTGCAAGATATTGTACAAAACAGATTCAACAGCTCGAAAGATCTTCAAACTTGCATAACTAGAGATCATAACCTATAATCACTCTTGAGGTTACTTGTTATACCTAGTAGAAGTAGTGACTACGTGCCATGTTATCGCTGTTGCATCAGATGCATCCACAAACATTAGGAAGTTGAACAATTATCTAATCTTGGAACCACCGTACACACATTTTGAGGTTATGTGATAACAAGTCAAGAATTTCTGTCAGGTATCAATGTACAGTAACCTTGAGCTGTTAATTAAGTTAATTGATATAGTATTTGATTCGACTTGGTCAGTTGTCTGTGAAGATTGGGTTCTTGGAAGACTGAATTTAAATGATAGACTATTTTAAGTACTTTGACGTCATAAAAGATTAAAATACAGTTAGCGCCCTGCAAAGCAACCTTGACGTCTCTGGAGCAATCAGAGAGCTTCACAAGTTAGCAATAGAAATTTCAAAACCGTTCTAATGAGCTATATACGTACTATAAGGAGCCATAGAAGAGAGAGTTCAGTTAATGAATCAAGTGCAGAAAGTTTCGAAGAAGCTTTCGGTACTAAAAGAAAGAGCCTTACAGTTGAAAGTAGTACCAGAAGTGGTAGTAAACCTATAAAAATCAAGAACGCTGGGAGGAAATGTCCTGAGGTAGTGTATGAGAGGAAAGAACATCCCATTGAGGTGAGGACTTTTGTAAAAACGATCCTACCGGTACGTACCGGGGTTTATTGAGTGATAATTTTGACTTTATTGATCGTGGATACCAAGATAGCCGTGATAGGCGGTAAAGTGAGTAGGTGTGGGGAGCTGTGCAGCGGTACCGGTGGCACCGTGGCCCCCAAATGGTGCCGGTGCGACCGTCCGAGCCTCATGTTCCCTTTCCGGTCGCGCAGGTCGAACTTGACTCGCCGCCTGAGCAAGGCCACTCGACGCGGCGTTGCCGGCTGCTCAATGCAGACTGGGGATGTCACGGTACTGCTGAAGAAGCTGCAGGACGCCCAACTGGATACCCTGGCCAAAGCGGTGGAGTCCAGGGGACGCGAACCTACCGGATGCGTACTGCTGCCCTACAAGGAGGAACCGCATCTGCTATGTTGTCAGACGTGGAGGTGGCCAGACTTGCGCAGTGTGGACGAGATCAGGAGACTGCCTAGCTGTAGGTCCAAGGTAGATAAGGTCTACGTCTGCTGCAATCCTTATCATTGGAGCAGGATCTGCGTACCTGGTAAGTCGGAAATACTATTTTTTATTCACATGCCATAAAACGGTTTCTTTTTTCTAAGTGAGGATTTTTAAGATTCTGAAATCCGTGAGTTACAAAAAAAGATATTTTCTTACTTCAATACTTTTTTAACATTTTGCTACAAGAATAAAAAAGTGAATTGCCAGTGACGTAGGCGATGTAGTTAGTATTTGCAAATCAGTAGAAAGTTACTTAAGTAAATTACACCCATTATCAATGGAACCTCCAACACAAAATGGTTTTGATGCTCGTTATTTTGAGTTCTGGAGCTCAGCGCCTGGCAAAAGTGCAGAGACGTTTCAAAAGTCACATACATCCTCAAACTCAAAACTCGCACTAGGGTAATGCACTGTTCAGATAACTCGCACGTCATGAGCGCCACCTATGCAATAATGGCGCAACGATCGTTTTGCCGATAGTTGCCCAAACTACTGCAACCGGCATTTCGCTAGCATGGTTTGTGTGTTGCAGGCTCAAAGAATACTACTGGTATATGGAGTATACGTACTTTTCGGATTTCTTATTTTTTTTATATGGAGTATACTTTCAAAAGGTGTGACGGTGGTAATATCACCGAGTGTGAAGATGGCATTAAGCTTCTTATCTGTGCAACAACGGCCATTTGAACAGGTTCAATGCTAATAATTTATTCTGGCGTGCGAGAAGTATATGAGCTGGAAAAGGTCCGGCGTAGATACAAAGTAGGTAACACACACAGCTAGGGATAGCTAGAAGCAGAACGAACTTAGAAAAAACTGTAATCTGACATAAGGATGTCCAATTTGGCATAAGGAGTTTGCAGTGTGTCAGTTGTTATATGATAAGGGCGTAAAAATGGTACTTCATCACTGGACGTAATTGTAATGCTTGATTTTCATTTGGTATTTGATAGTATAATATTGACTATAACGCGAAAGTCACCTAGGAATAGATATACTGCCATAATCGCCCATTATGCCTGACGATCTTCAACAGGTGGTTGCATAAAGACTCTACTTATCTACTGCTCAGCCTGGGAAGCTCCCTAAAATGTTTCCAGCTTTCTCCTTCTTCTTTTTTTTATCACTAATTAATTGTTGAATTCACCATGACACGTGGTCTAATTCCGTCGCGTCTTGACTCTACATGCCCACAGGGTCCGGACGCAGGTCCCGCCATGATGGGGGTCCTCAAATCCCAAAAAATCATAATGTGCGAGCACCCCTGCTCTCCAATTTTCTCTAATAACAAAATACATACACCGTACAATAACTTAGAGGACTTACGAATGTAACTAATGGAATTAGGAGTCTCTTAACTCCCAGGTAACTATTAACCATTAAGGAGTAGAAGAACTGTTTTAACACGACCGCGCGTTCGAGTTGTGTCTTCTGTTTGTTCTTCTTATTTCTGAAAGCTCCATTCAAGTCCCCGCATTTATGCAAATGATAATGACAGACGTATCGGCCGCTTTCCCGTGTAAGGCGTTGTGCACCAATGAACCTCGACAACGTTACCTAATGGCCATTTTTATTTTATTTACTTAATGAACAGTTATATTTTCTAAATGTAATGGTAGGATCTCCGGCGAGATACCAGCAGTCAGCTAGTTGCTTGCGCGGCGTGGATTTGAAAAAACGCCTAAAATCCTACGCTGATTCGCCCACCGTCAATTTCGAGCCATTACCACGGCGGATAATAAGGAAGGAATTAGAGAAACACGTTCATGAGGTCTGATATCTCCTCGTTTCGTGTAACCAGATGAATGAAATTGGTAATTAATACGAACGTATCACGGAAAATCACGTCACCACTTCATGAGGCTTCAAGCATTAACTTAAGACCAAAAAACTTTACATGTCCTCTAACAATACTCTCTGGGAAGGGGGATGATTAATTTTGCGTTATACGAGTATAAACTAGAACTCGTCTTAAATCTGATACTGATAAATATGTTCCCAAGTAGTAATAGTGCGACTAGCTACCGAAAAAATAGATATTGTGTTTACATTAACGTATGTAGCCTAGTCTCGTCTGAAACACTTTTGATTCGTCTATGCAAACCATGCGCTGATGTAACATTGAAATTATCAGACGCCTGATTCAAAGGTGCTATAATCGGTATCTCATTCTGAAAAGGAGACGTATTGAAAAACTCGTAAAATATAATATTAGCTACTTCATCCTCGGTTTCTCAAGTAGCTACTGTTTTCTCATCGTTTCCCTATAGATCTTCAAGTAAATCTTATAGTACTTGTCTGGTTACCAAATATTTGTAATCAGAATAGAGATTAGTTGTGAAATTGTTGTTCATGCAAGCGCGAAAACTCTTCCGTTTGTTTGTAAATGAAATGATTGTTAAAAAATAAAGGTTGACAAATGGGTGTAGACAGCAACGAATATTCACCGTTGTCACTATTGTTTTATGAATTGATACAAATGGATTGCCTTAAGAATGATGTTAATCAAATAATCTGACTATGTGTAATTCTCTAATTTCAATATGATTTGATTTAAGCCTTAACCACGAAGTTATCCAAAGATACTCTTTAAAGTTGGATTTGCTAGAGAAAACAAAATTAAAATTCGAGGGTAGTTTTGTCGTAGCTCAGTCTTTTTGCAAACATGTTTGTCCTAGTTTAATTCTGGATTTAATATTGCGATTTGAAATTGAGGATTCAACTTCCAAGATATAATATAAATATAATGTTAGCTACTTCATCCTCGGTTTCTCAAGTAGCTACTGTTTTCTCATCGTTTCCCTATAGATCTTCAAGTAAATCTTATAGTACTTGTCTGGTTACCAAATATTTGTAATCAGAATAGAGATTAGTTGTGAAATTGTTGTTCATGCAAGCGCGAAAATTCTTCCGTTTGTTTGTAAATGAAATGATTGTTAAAAAATAAAGGTTGACAAATGGGTGTAGACAGCAACGAATATTCACCGTTGTCACTATTGTTTTATGAATTGATACAGATGGATTGCCTTAAGAATGATGTTAATCAAATTATCTGACTATGTGTAATTCTCTAATTTCAATATGATTTGATTTAAGCCTTAACCACGAAGTTATCCAAAGATACTCTTTAAAGTTGGATTTGCTAGAGAAAACAAAATTAAAATTCGAGGGTAGTTTTGTCGTAGCTCAGTCTTTTTGCAAACATGTTTGTCCTAGTTTAATTCTGGATTTAATATTGCGATTTGAAATTGAGGATTCAACTTCCAAGACTTTCAGCATACTCGTTGTAAGAAAAACACGTTATTCATTATACTATTACAAATCCTACACGGTGTGGTAAACGAATATTTATATTAAAGTTTTGTCTTTTTTACTATTTGTTCGTACTGTTTATGTACTGTAACTTTTCCTGTTAATGTACCATAGTCCTTAGAAAATAAATTTCTATTACTCGTATATTCTTATTGACTATAGAATATTATCTACAAATTACAACAAGTGTATTAAGATGCTTAATAGCTCTCAAATTCAGCTTAAGCGTCATTAATCAAACAAAAAATATCACCTGTGATTCAATAAGGTATCTCTCATATTTCATGACAAACAGGTATGACAATAATCAATCATCAATAATTCAAAGAGATAGATAAATATAGTAACAAACAAATTATATATACAGCATATCATTAGTATTATTTTGCAAGAATAAAAATATAGGTTTGCCATATAAGCAGGTCTTCGAATCCGAAGAAACCTGTTATTTAAGGTTACCACTCTTTTCTTGTGAAATGGTTATCGAAGTTGACAAAATGCCTGATTTTCTATTGTTGATTTCCGCTCTTATGCCTACTGTATACTTCATTTATGACGGTTTACATGTTTTCAATATCTAGGACTTTTGTATCAATTGCTTCATTTTTCCTGCTGTTACTTTTCGGAGCTTCTTCATACTAATCGTAGATTTCGTAAAGAGTAGCTGACTTTGTTTGCCTTGGGATGTTTGTAACTAAATATATGGAGTTGATTCCCGCTTCCGAATATATCTCCAGGAGAAATTCTCCCCCATGCCTGCATACTCCATTATTATTTGATTCTAGCAAGCTCTTCTGCTCTTTACAAACAAATACAGCTGTATGGATCACGTGAAAGACGTATATACGTATATAGTCAAAAGCAATCTCATCAGCAACTTTTGTCAAAATATCTTTAACTGTACCTCTCTTCACAATTACTTAAACTACTTCAATACTACTAATGTAGAGGCAGAACCAATATCAGCATATATATCACCCATCTGTTTGCTGAAGCTTGCGATTAGCGATTGAAACATTGTCTAATCAAGAAACCTGTTCACCCATAGAAGTCATAAACGATACTGTCGATCTTCTATCTAAATTGATTTGGTCTTCGATGCATACCTGCTGAACAACGCCCTATAGGTGCCTTTATCTAACATAATCAAATTGAACCTAATCTACAATATTGCATCGACTTATTACATTGTGCCCATTCAAACGAGAATTGAAGAAACTAATCGCTCGGAAAACCTAAACCACCATATGTGTATGTATCACATAAGACAGAAACGATTTATTCTCTACTGGTAAATCGAATGAGATCGGCAGATACGTATACGTATTAGATTTAATAACATTATAAATCAAGGACAGTTTCCTGGGTGTCTTTTTTAATACGTGCATTTCGAGATTTATTGCGTTTGGATACCGTGGCCAGCTCCAATTTGCGTTTCCCTTTAGGAGTGGCTCATGGACCGTGTTGAGAACAAGGGAAGTTGTCCGCGATTCCTCCTGTCATTTCTTGCAACTGCATGAAAATCAATCAGCTGGATTTTTCAGGCAAGTTTGTCTACAATTGTGGTAGATTAGTTAGTAGTGTACAAGTTACCGATGCATGCAAATGTCCCTAGGTGGTCCGGTGGTTTGTGTAGTTATATTGAAACTAGTTTTTCAATATTAGAACCATGCCTTCAAAAGGGTAAAAAAACAACCAGAACCAGAAGTATGGGTTAGGAACGTGAAAGGG